GTCAAGAACAAAAACAGTGTTCTCTCCCCAAGCTTGCTTTATAGGGGGAGAGGGAGCTGCAATCCAGGGCTGGAGCAAAAGCCTTGGCCCCTGTGGCAGATTCTGGAGTGTCCTGGAAATTCCCATACCCCCACCCCACCCATCTGCCGCCTCTCTAAATCGACATCCCATGTGTGGTGAGCAGCTGCTGTGTGTATATGCCCAGCACTCTTTCCCCTCCCTCGGATAACAGAAACTCAGTTTTCCTTTGGGGAACTCCAGCTCCCCAATGCCATGCATTCCTGGTGGGGCTGCCAGCCATGGGACTCTCCTCAAAGAGTCTTCTCCCTGCAGGGTGAGCACAGGACCCCAGGTCAATTAAACTCTTCCTGGAGAATTTGAATCTGAGTTGGAGTCACTACCAGCGACAGAAGGCGGTTGGCTTAGGACCATCCAAAGCCAGACAGCTCAGTAGTTTCCACCACCCAGACCCCCAGAGCTGCCCTGGTCCCTGGCTTCCCAGGCCTGGGTGTTGGAAACCTCCTTCAGCACCCTGTATGTTTCCAGTAAATTCTTTTTCCCCACTTAAGTTTGCCAGAGCCAGATTCTATAGCTTGCAACCAAAGCTGATGCATATCCCATATGCTTGTATCCCAGCCTTCTTTTCCAGCCCTCTCTCTCTCACATTCTTCCTGCAAATCCATTTTCACTTCCCACACCCTGAAAACCTTTATGTTCTCTAACCTTTTTCTCCTATCAGGGTCTACTGTCAGGAAAGACTCTACAGTCATTGTTTACACTTCAGAGAAAATGGAAACATTGTCTTTGCTCTCCCACATGTGGATGTAGTCCTGGCCCTATGTCTAAGTGTTGACTGGGTGCCTTTGCCTCTTGTTTCAGGAAGGAAAGCATTTGTGAAGAGGTGGAAGAGAGCTTTCAGGGGACAGAGTGGGCCTTCCCCAAAATACTCTGAAATGAACCCTGACCCTTCTCCTGAGCTGCATTCATCAGTCACTTGCATGCAATGGGAATTGTCTTGTCCCAGAACTGATCTGTTTGGTAGCTGTCCTCCAAGTATTGTCCCTTGATACTCATTAAGTTTTGTCCCCACTGGAGTTACCTGCCTCAAGCTGTAAGATTTTGATTCAGTGCAACTGAGCACTCACAGTGTGTAAGGTTCTGAGCCAGGCATCTGAGGCACAAATGTGTTTAGTAGTTGATATTCACAGTCTGGTGGAGCAAACAGAGCCTATGTGAGCCCGCTTGTCTCCTACCTGAGCTGAATCCCATGGGAATGCTGAGCCAAGTGCCCTGGGCTGCGATTCACCCGGCCTTTCTTGGCTTGTGTATAAATTAGGATTCTTTGGTTGTAAGCAACAACAAGGACTCTGATTAATTTGTACATAAAACATGAGTAGAATTATCAGAAAGATTTTGGGAGCAACCAGAATGGAAATGAGAACTGAACAGGTAAGTATCAAGAAGGCCAGGAATCTGGGCAGCAACATGGCCCTCAGCCCCAGGAACTCCTTGGACCATGTGTGTTTTGGTAGCTACAATGGATGGTTCAATTATAGTTGTGTGTCTTTGCTTTAGGGCCAGACCATTGGAGAGAATTTGAATGGGCCAGCTGGGATAGTGTGCCCTGTGGCAAGTATTGCAACTGGCTGCCCAGTCAGGCGACCTAGAAAAGGAAAGGGCAGTTCCCTAAAGGAAAGTGGGTGCTGGTACCAGAATAAGAGAGAAGGTAGCCTGGGCAGACAGACAAAGCCCACCATAGTTGCTGTGGCCTCAGAGTGTTACACCTCTGCCTGCTGTGTACACCATTGCCTTGTGCTGTTTCCATGGCAACCACAGTTTGAACAAAAGGCTGTAACCAATGAAAATCACTGGGTGTAGAGAGGGCCCAGTCCTCTTATGTTACAGGTGGATAAACTGCAGCCCCAAGAGGGGGAGCAACTTGTCTGTAGTCACAGCCTGGCCTGCCTGGAGGTCTCCCAGCCAGTGCTGAATGAGGGATGCACAGAAGATCAGACTGAATCCACAGGCTCTGCTTCTGGTAGAAATTTTCCATACTAGGTGTGGGATGGTGGTGAGAGTCCATATGGAAGCCATTGGGAGGGGTTACCCTGTGTGTGAAAGGTTAATGCGGATGCTCTATAAATATTTATTCAACTGCCCTGGCCCCATCCCGGTGCTGGGAGGCAGAATTATTAATAGCTCCCCTACACTTCTAGCATGCCCAGGGTCGAAATAGAAATGCCACTCTTGAGTCCCTGGCTCCTGGACCCTGGAGAGGAAAAACCACCTGCTGGGCGACCTGCCCCCTGCACACACAAAAGACAGTCCCAGCTGTCTGTCTGGGGCTGTGTCCAGCTCCTGGCTCTAGTAAGGCTTTCTGAGTTGTCCCTGGGGCTCCCAACATGACCCTTCCTCCAGGGTCTCAAGACAGTCCATGCAGAGGATGTCAGCCAGGCTCAAGTCCCCTTCCCCCACCAGCCTTCCCTTGCCAGGCCTAGCCAGATCCTTGCAGACCCAGTCAAGCTGTGTCCCTCTTGCTGTTTACAGTCTGCATATATCTGTGGCCCTGACAGGGCTGTGTGTACTCATCCTTTCTGCCTGCCCTTATTAACTAAGTCGACTTTCCAGCCTGTGTCTCTGTTCAGCTGCTCTCCTCAGGGCCTGTGGCTGTAGCTGACAAACCCCATGGGACCTTCTTTCTCCCCAGAGTTGGCAGGGTGCCTTTGCAGTTCCTTGGCTCTCTCTCCTCGATGCCATGGACCCTTGGCGTCTTTCTAATCCTCTTGTCCCCAGGAGGTCTTGTTTCAGCCTCATCTGATCAGCCCTCACCTTTCAGCCCCTTCTCCTGGGAGTTCCAGCCTCTAGCTTGAGAAGTCAGGGTTTGGGGAGGGGATGGGCCCTGTTTCCACCTCACTCCATCCTTTCCTGTCCAGCTGGCATGAGGAGGATCTTCCCTGGCTGGCCTGCACACGCTGTGCCGTTTCCGCCTGCTTCCAGCTCATTAGTGCAGGTACGACAGGAGCCAGCTCTGCCTCCTGCCCGACGCTGAGCTCACGGCTCCCACTGCCTGTGCTTCCCACCCAGTCTAGAACACTTGGCACACAGCATGCAGCCTCCCCCCTCTCCTGCCCCTCCTCTGGGGGTTCCTTCTCTCTCTCTCTGGAAGGCTTTCCCTAGCCTGGCTCTCTTTCAGGGTCTGGAAATAGGGATGCCTTTCTTCTTGGGCAGCCTATGGATCTAGCCAAACCTTCCTCAGACAACACCAAGCCACGGTGAAAAGCCATGGGTAGGTTTTGTTGGGGTGAGTTGAAGAGGTCCTGAAGCCCTGAAGGCTGTGGATGGGACCTCCTCAAGCCATCCAGCCCTTCCCCTGTCTTCTGGGAAAATACTAAAACCATCCCAGGTTGACAAGAATTTAATTATTTAACCAGTTTTCGATGACAGCTGCCTTTGCCTTACCTGTAACAAGAGGAAATGTCACATGAATTGTTTCTAATGTGTAAAATCTCTTGCTGCGCTCACTCCCTGCACATACTCACCCGCCAAGCCTATGTTGAACTCAAAATCTTCTCCACTGAGGTTCTCATCGACTCCCCTTCACACTGTGTGTGAGTGTGAGTGTGAAGAACACTGCTCACCATTCTCTGCATCAAATGAGCAAACACAGAGAACGCCTTGATATTGATGAAGACCTCAAGACTCCTCAAAGGAGGAGTCTTGCCTTCTTTTCCTTCTTTTGCCTTCCTTTGCCTTCTTTTCCTCTAGGCAGAGGGGTTTCAAGACTTTTTTTCTGGGGTCATATAAATGTCCACCCTTCTTGCTTCTCCATACCTTGCCCTCTGGATTTGCCCTGTGTGATCTCAGCCTCTTTCTGGGACTCCAGCAGCTGAGCCTGTATGTCTAGCCTAGGTGAGCGCAGAAATACATGTGTGGGTTGTGAAGTCACTGCAGTGAGCCACAACCAGTGTTAAAAAAAACAAAACAAAACAGAAGAGAGGTAATAGAAAATATGAGAGTGAGTCATACATAGAAAGGTAAGTTATTTCAGTTCTAGATGTATGTTCATGTGTACTGAGTCATGTTAAAAAATGTACTTCTTACTGTGAGTTGTAAAAGTTGTTAAAAAGTTTGTAAACCACTGCTCCCAGCTGGCCCGTGCTGCTGGCACTATTCGGTGTAGAAGTGGGGACACAGCCATCTGTGAGCTTGATGGGCCCAACGAGTCCCTTGGGTTTGGGGCACGTGGAAGGAAAGACCAGAGAGGACAAAGCCTGGAACACTCTGTCAACTGGAATCTGGAGGAGCAACGTGGGATGCTGTTGGGGGAATGGAGGGGGCGGGGAGTGGAGAGGCTGCAGGTTGGACAGCACTTGAGATCCCTTTTGACTCTGGCTTTGCTGTGAGTTATCCCAGCCTCTTTCTGGGACTCCAGCAGCTGAGCCTGCATGTCTAGCCTAGGTGAGCACTGAAATACATGTGTGGGTTGTGAAATCACTGTTGAGTCACAACCACGGTGTTAAAAAAAAAAGAAAAAACAGAAAAGAGTTAATAGAAAATATGAGAGTGAGTCATACATAGCAAGTAAGTTATTTCTGTTATAGAGATATTGATGTGTATCGAGGTTCTGCGAGACCCCCACCTTCACACTGTACATCTTTACACTACCTTTCCCCCTCCCTCTTTTCCTCTAGGCTGAGGGGTTTCAAGACTTTTTTCCAAGGGGCATATAAATGTCCACCCCTGTTGCTTCTCCATGCCTTGCCCTCGTGATTTGCCCTGTGTGACTCAGCCTCTTTCTGGGACTCCAGCAGCTGAGCCTGTATGTCTAGCCTAGGTGAGCGCAGAAATACATGTGTGGGTTGTGAAGTCACTGCAGTGAGTCACTCTCCCATGTGCTGGGATAGTGACTCCAGGTCCCTTGGTTCTGACTCCTCCTGCCATGAAATATGGTATTAGGAAATGTAGTCCTGGTTCTTGTCACATGGGATATCTCTATGGCTGGGCATGCAGCAATCCAGATATCTATATTGTCATCTGTACAATGGGAAGCACATACTGTTGCTGTCTTTTCCTCCTCCCTCCTTCCTCGTTCCTCCCTGGCTGGGATTCTTGTCCAGAGACAAGAAACAAAGAGGGTTTGGTTAGACTTCATGAGCCAGGTTCAGAAGCAT